TGAGCCCAAAGCTCAAGGGCCTTGGATCCTGTGACTGCTATCCTCGGAAGCCCAGCGACAGACACAGAGCCAGGCCCCCCTGTCGCCCAGCTGACAGAGTGCCAGACCCCCAGCGCTGTCTGTGAGTGAGGCCGGCCCGGAACACCTGGCGGCCGTCCCCTGGCCACCTGACCCCGGCCACGTGTGCGAGCCCGGGCTGACGTGAGCCCAGTTAGCCCAGACCCGATGAAGACCTGGTCAAGCCAGAGTCACAAGTCACAGAAATTGTTGTTTCAAGCAACCGAGTTTGGGAGTGATTTGTTAGGGAGTGAAAGCGAAAGTATGCAGAAATTCTCAGCACAGAGGTAATGTTATGTATCAGGACATTGTTATCCTTTTCTTACTCAAATGAGATCATAATGCCCTTCTGCAGCTTGCTTTTTCCACTTAATGACATGTCTAATGACAATTTCCCACGAGGTGCATTTCAATCTCTCTCATTATTTTTAATAGCTGGATGAATATACTGTAATTGGCTCAGCCAATATCCTGCGTAGGCGGTCTCTGGTTTTTGCGATCACAAAGCCTTGGAGAACATTCTTACAGATGATATTTATACCCATGTGTATTTATCAGATAAGTTCTTGCAAATAACGATTATGGGTCAAAGAGCTTTGCATTTAGAATATTAATATTTGTCAAGTTATCTTCCAAAATGATTTCCTAATTCGTACTTCCTTACATGTGAGAGCGAGTGTATATGTCAACCCCTTACCAACACTAAGTATTTGCCAATCTGAAAGAAAAAAAATGTATTTCCTTACTGTTTTATTTGCATTTTAAAATTATGGATGAGGTTGAGTGTATTTTTATAGTTTAGTATCTATTTGTATGTTTTTTTTCCCCTTATGAATCTCTTATTTCCTCTCTTTGCTCATTTTCCTTGGTTTGTTTAGCCTTCTTAAGAATTGAACTATAAAAGGTGAATGGATATTAAAGAAACGTTACCATCTTTCAAAACAGCTTCTAGATAGAGACGTTTAAACGAGTTCTAGAGGAGTTTGCAAAGCAATACAAAATAATTTCCTGCATTCATAAAGTGTTTTACAAGTACGAGACGCTTTAAAAGCATCATCTACTCTAATCCTGCAGCTGTCTTCCGAGGCAAGTTTGTTATTCCATCGATTTAATGGTTGAGGAAGGTGAGATGCGGAGATTCAGTACCTTTAGGTGAGGAGAAATCGCGAAATACTTGGAAATAGGCATGAAAAGTTTACGAGGGGTTCTGTCTAGCACAGTCTCCAGGGTATCAGCACCTTCCCCTGTCTTTGAGCTCCCTTTCAACTCTTTAAATGGCAGGAAACTGATATTAATGCAAATGCTTCTTGTCCATAGAAATGCAAATGAATTGTGTCTGGCAGAGATGCAATTGATTCTGTCCCTGATGGCGATGGGTGCTCTGTGTCTGGGTTTTCATTCATTTCAGCCTTCCCGACTGCCTGTATGTGTGTCTCAGTTCTTTCAGCTCTCCTTGCAGTTGCTATGACGTCTTACTGGCCTCCCCATCAGTGAGTTAAATAAAGCTTTGGCACTTGTTCATTTTATATTCGTATGTATGATTTTACCTTAAAAAAGTGATCTTTTAACTTTTCTCAAGTTTCTAGTCCACACAGCCTGTCAGGATCTGACTCAGGGATGTCTGATGGGGATTCTTTATTAGGATGATTTTTAGCTGATGAAAACAACGGACCCTTTCCCTGGGAAAAATAAACAGACACGCACCATTTTGCATGCTCTTTTGAGAGTTCCTTGGCCTCTGGGACACTGGTTTAAGAACTCCTAAGATAGGGGCGCCTGGGTGGCTCAGTCAGTTAAGCGTCTGATTCTTAATTTTGGCTCAGGTCCTGATCTCAGGAGCCCCTTGTTGAGCCCTGTGTTGGGCATGGAGTCTGCTTAAGAGTCTCTCTCTCCCTCTCTCCTTGCTCCCTCACCCCAACCCCATGCTCTCTTTCTCTCTCTCAAAAAAAAAAAAAAACCACAACAACCCTCCCCCCCCAAAACTCCTAGGATAGAGTCTGGGATCAGAATAGCTGCTCAAGATCAGAAGTAGAAAGAGGTAGAAGGGAGAGTTGGGAAAATGGTTTTTTTTTCTTCCACACTTGTCGTGTGCCAAACTGTACTAACTCATTTAATTGTCACAGAAACCCTGAAAGACCAGAAACTGTTCTACAGAAGGGACATGTCTCTTTCCCAGGTCACACAGCTGGTGTGGGTTCTAAAGTGATTCTTTTGCACCACAGATATAAGGTAAGGGAATAACACAGCTCTTACGGGGAGAACATAAATCCCTAGGGAGGAAGAGTTGCTCCCCCCAAATCAACTTTAAATCAGTACTGTACCTGAGATGCTCTGGTCACCTGAACCTCTTATGGTTGGTGAAACCCCGTTTCTGGAGGGTGCTAGGGGGGAGGAGGGTATGTAACTGGGAAAGGGGTGGGGATTGTGACGGTTAATTTTATGTCAACTTGACTGGGGCCACGGGGTGGCCGGATATTTGGCTAAGTGTTATTATGGGTGCACCCGAGAGGTTGCACTGGATGCAATTCACGTTTGAACGGTAGACTGAGAACAGCAGATTGCTCTACCTGGTGTGGCTGAACGTGAGGCCTGAATGGAACAGAAAGGTGGAGGAAGGGAGAACCGGCTCTCTGCCTGCCTCTGAGCTGGGACTTTGGTTTCCTCCTGCCTTCGGACTCCGACTAGAGCTTGTGCCGTCTGCTCTCTCCTGGGTCTTTGGCTTGGGGACTGCAGATCATGGGGCTTCTCAGTCTCCATAATCGTGAGGGCCAACTCCTCATACTAAGGAAAAAAATATACATACAGTTTTGTTTCTTTGGAGAGCCCAGACTTACACGGGTAGCCCAGAGCAGAGCGGACCTGTGCCTTTTCATTCCACCTGGAAGGTGGGGCATCTGCGATCTTGTCCATGACCCTCATGTCGCCAGGGCCTGAGAAATGGCTGCAAGAGGTCTAGGTGGAGAGTCCCCTGCCTGGCCTAGGGTTTCCATGACCCTGAGGGGTGGGGGAGCTATTGACTTTTCCTCCAGCTCCCAAGAGATGGCCTGGAAGCTAGAGAGAAGGAATGGGGGCATTCATAAGTTGAGGGGGTGCTGCAGCAGAGGATGTGGGGTGAACCCCAGCAAGGGATGGAACGAGGTGGTGCAGCCCCAGGGCGGAGGGGTCACGGTCAGGCTGGCTGAGGTGCACCCAGTGGATGCCCTCGGGGGACTGAGAGAGACAGCTGGGAAGCAGATGTCCCCCCCCTCCAGCCACTGCGGTGGTGTTTGTATGAGCATGGTCCCAGCCCCACCCTCTGTTAATCGGCTCTTTTGCTCTCCCAGCCCTTAGCCTTCTTTCATCTCGAGCTTGCTGGAGACTAGGTGTCTGTTGGTGATAGCATTCATGGGCTCTGAGCGATTTGGCACTTCTAAGTTTACAAAGCATATCCCGTTTGTGGGCTGTAGTCGGATTTGGGCATATTGCATGCCTGAGGGCAGAGCTGTGTGGGGCTGCCTCCAGTTTATAGGTGAGAAAGTGAGGCCCAGAGGGTTTGGGTGGCAAGCTTCTACAGCAAATCAGATGGAGGACAGGACTAAGACCCAAGCTTCCTGACTCCCCATCCGACTCCTGGCTGCATCAGGGACCGGGCCGGATTGCAGAGGTTCTGGAATTTGGGGACAGATTACCCAAACTTCTGATTTGTGCACAGAGGTCAGTCCAGCCTGCCTAGTTAGGAGGAGCAGGCCCTGTCCTCTGCAGCAGGGTACCTCTCGGCAGGGCTCAGGCCGAAGGGAAGGTCGAGGGTGGCCTCCCTGGGAGTAGGGGTGGCATATTCCAGGGCCTGGACCCAAACAACCCCTTTCCTAGTGTGATCTGGGGACAATGCCATCGCTCCACAATGGTCTTGGACCTCACACTTGGTGTAGCAGTTCCTCTCCCCTTCAGAGCCTCCCGGTTGCTCTTCGAGGCAGGCAGGTGGGGCTTACTACCTCCGTTTTACAGATATGGAAACTGAGGCTCAGACCAGGCCTGTGATTTGCCCAAGGTCTCACTGCAAGGAAACGGCAGAGTCCTTAGGCTCTTCACAACGGAGGGAGGCTGGCCTTCCAGCTGGTCCCTCGCACTAGTCCTGGGAAATAAACTCTGAAGAGAGCTTCCTGTCATATTCTTTATTCAGACCGGAAATGTAGCATCTCTCCCCAGTCCAGCAGGATAACCAAAGTCACTACATTCTGTCTTAAATTAAAAAAAACTTTCCCTATATTTCTCTCCCAGTTTGTATATTCACATCAAAGCCATACAGAATTTGTTAGGCATGGACCAATGGCAAGGTCACTGGGCCAACAGCAAGGTCATGGAGCGCACATTCTGCTTGCAGGGGAAGCTCAGCATGACCCCTTGGGCCAAAGTGGACTGAGCTTCTGGGGGTGGAGCCTTGGTTGTTTGTGTCCAGATCCAGTTCCATTTATAGAGTACTCAGTAGGTGCTCAATAAATGTGTCATGCATGAATGTACAGGCAACCCCTCCTTGGCCTCCTCTCTGCCTCTGTTCTCATCATGGTTCACCTCACCAAAGGAAGAGCCAGAAGGGCCCTCGGAAGTCACCTTGTCCAACTGTCTGTGTTAGGGATGACGTCCAGAGGGGGTGAGTGACCATCTGGAGGTCACACAGTGAGTTAGAGGAAGCAGGAGTGCCAGACGATGCCGTCTTTGGTCCAGAGCTCATCTGGGGATCTCACACAGCCTCTGTCTTCTGAGCCAGGAGGGCAACCTTGGGAGGAGCGAAGAGAGCTCCTGTATTCCTCACTTTGCTGCTGAGTCCAATGCAAACTTCCCCGCGGGCGTGCTCAGGGTCATCTTTGGATGGTGAGATGGATTCCTCCAGAAGCCTGGGCACCCTCCTGCCACTTGTCTTCACCTGGAGAGGGGAGCGGCGCCATTGCCGAGAGGTGATTCGATCCCTATGTTGAGGTGGCACAGGGGCTGCCCCATTTGGGGTTTGCAGGTGGGAGGCAGCACAGAGCAGGGATGCAGGTCGGCTGGATGAGAGGGCCTACGAGAGGCTGTGTCTCCCACAGGTGGTATGGCAGGAGGGTGACCCGGCCGGGGCACCAGGCAGAGGCCGGCTGGCTGGGAGCTGATGGATAGCACCCGGTGGGGAGAGCCAGCTGGGGCAAAGCAGAGGGCTGCAGCCTGGGGCCCTGTCACAAGGGGGAAATCAGGAGAGAGAAGTGAGTCCTAGGCTTCACCTGGGGCTGTCCCGCGGCTTCCCAACCTTTCCCCCAGGACTTGGACAGCTCAGGGTGGGTAGGGGACCATGTTGGGGAGAAACGTGTGCCCTGGGGTAAACTTGGTCCTCATCCTGGCATTTATAGGACTTGCTTGATGTGAAAAAGTCACTTTGCTTCTCAGTGCCCAGTTTCTGCATTAGCAAAACGTGGATAAATAAAGACATCCTACCTCACAGCGTCACTGCAGGCATGCGCGAACCTCTGACCCCAGGAGCGTCTGTGCTGTGTATGGCTGGCGCACCATCTGGTAGGCATGGACCCCGCGGACGGCCCGTGCTCACGCCAAACCTTTTCATGTCTCAGTGATTTCACCCTCATCGAACTACTACTCTCCTCGGAGGGGCCGAGTGACTCTTCTGGGCCACACTGCTGCTAAGTGCAGAGCTGAGATTCCAACCTGGGGAGTCTGACTCCAGAGCCCACCTGCTCAACCTCCGGGCACCTGCCCTTACTCCCTGCCTGTCTGGTCCTTAAACTGTGAAGTCCTGCCCAATAATACACGCCTGTCTCTGGAGGAAGGAGAGGCACAGTGATTGTCACTCAGGGAATGAGGACGTGGGGACAAAGAGGGGCAGCGTCTTGTCCCAGGTCCCACAGACATCCAGCGCACTCTTGGTCATGCTCTTTCTGGAAGAGTCTCCCTTGTACTCTTTACTGTATGCAGAGCCCCCAGGGTTCCTTGCTTCTGGTTCTGGGTGGGATGTTTGCAGAGAGGGCCCCCCCCAACTCTCCCTTGGTGCCTCAGCCACTCACGGCCATGTCCGGGTTCGTGGCCAGGGCCAAATGGGCCTCGCTTAGCTTCTGCAGAGCCCCCGGGCTGCCGGTCTTCTGCTTCCGCCACTTGGCACGCTGGTTCTGGAACCAGATCTGGGGTGGGCGAGAGAGAGGATGGAGATCAGCTGCAGGGCTTCTCTCTATCCAGTACCTTCCCCAAAAAGTGTGATCCTGATGCTTTCCCAGGGCCTGGCACTTTACAGTTTAGAAAGCTCCATGGCATCAGGATTTCCTTGGCTCTGGAGGTCTGCCCTCTGAGAGGGGACCGGGGATCAGACCCTTCAGTGCCTGGGGCGCCAGGGGCTCATGCCCGAGTGCAGCAGCTGGATGCCGTATAAGTAGGAGCAGTGGGGTCCGTGGGGAACAGAGCGTGAGGGCGCAGCATCTCAGCTTCAGCCAGCAAGCATCCTATAGATATGTGAGCCTGGCATCACAGGCCCATCCAATACCTAAGGCGGAAATCTCATTTTTTATGTGAAGGCTTTGATATTGAAAACGCTGTGCAGATCAAATAAAACTCATCTGTGGGCTGTTTCCTGCTGGCAGACCACCAGCTCGCAACTCCCTGTGGGCCCCTGGGCAGCTATAGGTTGAATATTGGCAGCTCCCTGTCTTCACCAGTGCCCTGGCTGTCCCTGACACATGGGTGTTTGTTCTTGGCCATTCTGCCGAGGCAGCTTTACAGCGGATGCAGGTGCTATCCACGTAGCTCCTGACTGATTCTAAATGGGAAGGGAAAGTGAGAAGGCTAAAACAGCGGTGGTCCTTAGCCAGAAGAAAAGTAGGTTAAAATCAAGAGTAAAATGTTGACCTGGGCCCTGGCTCAGATTTTTGAATTTGGAATGAGTCCATCAAATTTGATGGAAAAAGAAAAAGAGAGTGACGTAGAGAAGTGTTTTAGAGCCAATCAACAGTGCCACGATTGGATTTGGATTCGCTGGAGTGGTACTTGCAAAACTGGGCGTGTGCAAAGAGGCGGGACATGCCCTTGGTGATTGACAGGGGGCTACTGTATCTCTAACCACAGAAGAAGCCACAGACACCCCAAGGGGAAGAAATGACAGATTCTGGATTAGGTAGATCTCCGACCCTGGATGGCCCTTTCCACACCTCTGTGCTGTCTTCAAAGTGACGCCCATGGAGTCTGGATCAGGGCTTGGCAAACTAAGGCCTGCAGGATAAATCTGGCCTTCCTCCCAGTTTTTGTATGGCCCATGAGCTAAGCATGGCTTTCGCATTTTTAAACAGTTGGGAAGAAAGATAGAAAGGAGAAAACTATTTGTGACACATGTAAATTATACCAAATTCAAATTGTAGAGCTCATCAATAACGTTTTAGACAGTGACCGTATGGCCTCACAAAGCCCAGCATAATTACCATCTGGCCTTTTACAGAAAAAGGCCACTGGTCTTTGATGACCACTGGTCTAGATTGTCAAGATCTATATTGTGAATGGGGCTGCATGGTGGGCCATCCTCTGGAACTACAGCCAGGTGGAGAGGGAAGGCAGGAAGCAGATATCAATGGCCATCACGGATGCCACCTGGCTCCCATTTCCACCTCTTTTTTTTTTTTAATTTTTTTTATTATGTTAGGTTAATCACCATACATTACATCATTAGTTTTTGATGTGGTGTTCCATGATTCATTGTTTGCATATAACACCCAGTGCTCCATGCAGAACGTGCCCTCTTTAATACCCATCACCAGGCTAACCCATCCCCCACCCCCCTCCCCTCTAGAACCCTCAGTTTGTTTCTCAGAGTCCATAGTCTCTCATGGTTCATCTTCCATTTCCACCTCTTAAAGAGAGAAACCATCTTGTAGTTGGTGACCTCATTTCCCGGAAATAATATTTGGCAAATGTGACTGTATTCAAGGGATAAAGGCAATGGGAAATTTCAGATGGGGCAGCCCTGGCGGGTTCATGATCCACAGGGTCTCATCCATGGCCCCCAAAGCATTGAGGTTGGGGGCTGAGGGTGGGGACAGCTGTACCTGCACCCGAGCTTCTGGGAGGTTGATCCTGGCTGCCAGCTTGTTGCGGATGTGGACGTCTGGGTAGTGGGTGAAGTGGAAGATCTTCTCTAGCTCTTGCAGCTGCTCACTGGTGAAGGTGGTTCGGACCCTCCGCTTGCTTTTTCTTTCCTCTGGATGGAAGAGGGTTCAAGTTGGGTTAGTGATCTTGCTGTTGGCACCCTGGTGAGGCTTTTGTGTTACTTGGTTTCACTCTTTCAACCCCTGCTGCCCACTACAGAGTCTTGCTACTGGCTCCTCAGCTTGGAGTTTTGCAATATTTTGCAATAGAAACCTTACCCCTAGGTTGGCCCCTCTGATCCATCCTGAACATTGGGGGTCAAGGTAACTTTCTAGAAACCCTTGTGACTGTCCTTTTTGCTGCTCAGATGCCTTCAGTGACTTACCCTTGTCTACAACAGGGCATGGCAAACTCTAGCCTGAGGGTCAAATCTGGCCCACTGTTTGTTTTTGTAAATAAAGTTTTATTGGAACAGCCTTCCCATTGGTTTATGTATTGTCTATGGCTGCTTTTGCAAGCAGCTTTGAATAGTTGCAACAGATACCATATGGTCTGCAAAGCCTAAAATAATTACCATCTGGCCCTTTACAGGAAAATCTTGCCAGCCTTAGCCTACAAAGTAAAGACTGAACTCTACAGTAGTCAGTCCCTTACAACCTGTTTCCAATCTGACTCTCCAGCCTCGTGTCCACTCAGGGCTGGCTACATCAGCTCTGGGGCCTAATGTAAAATGAAAATGTGGTGCTCTTGTCCAAAAAAGCAGGAAAAAAGCTATTTATTTTCTTTTGCATTCTCTCTCTTGAACTGTCAGTGTGTTTTTGTTGTTGTTGTTGTTGTTTGCTTAGGTTTTTAAATTTGCTGTGTAAGTTCATGCTCCCTTGGACACAAGGATACTAATAGGGTAAGTGTGGACCCTTACAGGGACCGAGGGCCCACCTGTTGACTTGGCACCAGGGTTGCATATACCTTTGACCTTCCTCCCATCCCTGGAATCACACGGGATGGAGGAGGCAGTGGTCACTGGGTAAGGATGGGGAAACAAGTGGCCTAGAGCCCATCCCAGGGAAGCATGGAGGTGGTAAGAGGGGCATTGAGCATTGAGTCAAGGCTTCAGGGCCCTGGTGCTTGCTTCCTGGTCCCACTGAACTTCACTTACAAAGCGCAGATTCACACGTAAAATTATTAAGAATTTTAAGATGACCATAAGCATTAACCCCAAGTGCCAGGCTTCCATCTGTATGCAGTACTGTGGCAACTACACTGGTCCCACCTGTGCCTGTGAAGCCAGGTCTGCGCATGTGTGTGTATGATGGGGAATCAGCTATTCTACTGCGACATGTGAACTTTGAGACGCCTACTGGGTATTCAAAACAACTCTCGAATAGGCGGATGAATATATGTTTGGAGCTCAAAGTGGATCTCAGGACTGTGGTTCAAATTTGGGAAGGATATGGCTTTGGTAGTCTGGGCATGGCTGAGATCACTCAGACACGAAATGCATGTGAAGAGTGGGGGGTCTAGGGATAAGCTGGGCCCCTCCACTGAGTAGAGGCTCAGCAGCCCATGAGGGAACCAAGAGAAACCAGCGAGGGACACCATGCACGCACACACAACACACACCCCCCCCACACAACACATACACAACACACATATGCACACACATGTACGTATACACACGCCACATATGCACGCATGCACACACACACACTCTTTGGCTCCCCCCAAGATAGGAGGAAAAGGAGGACACCCGGTGAAGAAACTGTCTCAAGAAAGAGGCTCAGCTGTGTCCATGCTGGGGATAGATTAGTTCTAACAGGGACAGAGATTGGTCATAGCGGTTCCATGGAACAGGCAATGAGGGCTCGGTGGGCAGTGGAAGGGGGCCAAAGGAGAGGAAACAGCTGCAGACAAGTCCACAGAGGTGTGCTGGGCATGTGGAGGAAGAATGGCAGTTGCTAGCCAGAGAGAGAGTGTATGGTCCTGGGAGTAAAACAGGACATGATAACATCATGAAAGGCCCCCAGTAAATGTTCTCCAGCAAATCTCTATGTCCCTCTTTTCTCTGGGGAACGTGACCTGAGCCAGAGGAAGCTCAGACACTAGCAGTACCCAAGCAAACACTTGGGGAAGAGAACTTTAGAAAGGAGTGGGAATAGAATTAAAAACAAGAGAGGGTGAAGAGGAAGAAGAGTCAGAAAATATCAGTGTGTTTATCGAACAACTGTTATGTGCCGGCAGTGGTGCTGTACCTTGACCTTGGCCTGCATGCATGCACATATGTATATTTAGCTTGTCTTGTTCTGAGATGAATTTGAGGCATGTGGTCCTGAATTTGGCATTTAGGAGGACATTGAGGACCACAGAAAGACTACTTGGGTAAAATTATGATGGCAGAAGCCAAGGAAAGAGGACCTATGTTTGCATTACCCCAAACACACCCAATGTCATCTGATACTTCGTAAAGATTCTGACAATATACGTTGAATTAAAGTGGATGGAGGCATGAATGGTTGGGGAGAAGTGGCAGCAATAAGTAGGAGAAGAATTCAAGTCTTGAGAAGATGCTAGAAGGGGAGGGGGAAGCTGGGGAGATGTTTCAGAGAGTAGCCTGGACCACGTCTGAAGACCAAGGGAGCGAGAGGGCTCTGGATGGGGCAGCTACAGGACAGACTGGTCATAGACACTCACTACACAGGTGAGGGTATCGTGTGAGTTTCAGGGCAGGTGAGTCAGAAGTCAGGTCTCCAACAGAGAGTGAGAGAGGTGGAGGGGTTAAGGCAGGAAGGATGAAAAAGGCTTTGGGACAGCTGCTCTGGAGAAGGGCCAGGGAAGCAAGAAGAGTAAGGAAGATCGTCCACTTGCAGCCTCCCCTGTACCTCCTGATAGGGACAAGGGTCACAGATGGTGGAGGAAGGATGGAATCAGATGGTGGTGGGTTTGTTTTCCTGACCATGCACTTCTGAGGACAGGGCTGCAATTCTAGTTTTACTTGGAACAAAGTCCATGTGATGTAATTTTAGGAATTGTAGGAAAGGTACAAACCCCCTCCGCAAATCCCTCTCACTTTTGAGGACCAATGTCAGATGTTACGGGTCAGATGGGATGACAAGAAAAGAGGGTGGGGATCTGAAATCCTGCTGAGGTCTCTTTTCTCCCACCTAGCTCACTTTCTTATTCCTTCCAAATAAGAGGTAAAACCACTGCAGGCTATGAATTGGAGTTGACACTGGGTGAAGAGTAGATTTCAGTTGTGATGGTTTAACAACCAAAGAGTGTGTGTGTGTGCATGCGTGCATATGTCGCGTGTGTATACGTACGTGTGTGCATGTGTGTGTTGTGTATGTGTTGTGCTATGGGGTGTGTGTGTTGTGTGTGCATGCATGTGTGTCTTGCGTGTGTGTATGTGTGTGCATGTGTGTGTTGTGTATGTGTTGTGCTATGGGGTGTGTGTGTTGTGTGTGCATGCATGTGTGTCTTGCGTGTGTGTATGTGTGTGCATGTGTGTGGTGTGTGTGTGCATTGTGTGCATGCTTGTTATCCATCCTGCTATCATTTGCTAGAAGGAAACCCACTGAACTGGACGTCAGGAGGCCTGAGCTCTGTTCCTGAACTTTACAATTTGGGCCACATTTCATTTATTTTCTGGGCCTCAGTCTCCCCATCTGTGGAATGGGGGAGGAGAGCAAGCCAAATACACCCTGACATCCTGTGATTCTCTTTCTCTTCAGGTGGAGGCTGGATGGCTTAAAACACCTTGCCTTGGGCCTGCCTGGGGAACCAGTTTGCTTGGTGGAGGGTGAGGGCCAGAGAGGAGAGATTTCTGCTGAAGCTCTCCTCATCTCTGGGATTAACCAGGCCCAGTTGCCTCAGTGATAGCAATGGCATTTCATAATCTGCCTTTGGTCTCGCCCCTCCCTACTACCCCTCAAGTTTGTTGTTAAGACTTTGACTCATTTCACTGACTTTTGGGAGATTCTTGGTGGTCACAGACTGTGAAGTCTCAAACATTATCATCTGCTAGAGCAAGCTCTTGGACTGTGAACCACCTGATCAGACCTGATCTCTCTCCTTCCCTATCCCCTTTCCCTCCCCTAGTCTACCTTCTTTTTAAAAATTTTAAGAAGAGGTATTTATTCTATGCTTAGAGCTAGCAGTGTGTTTAGGGTAGAACTGAAGCCAATCAGAATTGATACAGAGAGAGATGGCAATGTTAACCCATTGCCGAGTCTTACTGAATATGTCCTCTGTGCCCAGCATCTCGTAGGCACTGGGGGCCTGTCTGCGGGAGTACAAAAATGAATGAGCCATGCTGACAGTATTGCATTCATTCATTCACTCACAAGGCCAGTATTTTAGGTGATAGTAATACTGTGCAGCTCTATAGGACATTGCAAAAAAAATTCACAGGATAGAAGATTCCAGATTGGCTGGGCAAATTGCAGTGTCCAAAACAGTATGGAGTTAGGATTCTTCTGGGAGTACAGAGCTATGGAATGGGGGATCCCAGACGGAGAATGTAGGGTGCAGACCAGAACTTGAGAAAGCAACCACTACAGAGAACAGAGGTTTAGAAACAGAATGTAGATGATGACAAAAAGAAGCCACCTCCTCCATTCTCTCCAGAAGGAAACTTAGGCAAACAAGCGTTCATGACTAAGAATAGACTCCTTAATAGAATAATTTTTTCAATGCTTCCATTTGTGTAACTAAAGGAGCAACTGTTAAGATATATGTGGCTTTTCCCTATTTCTGGCAGGACTGGAGGGCATAATTTGGAGGTGGGGTGAAGAAGGAAAGGATATACTTCTTTTCTGCATAATAAGTGATCTCTGACTTTGTGGAGAGTGGGCTGCCTGCAAATTACTGGTCAGTTAGAAAAATATGTTTTCATATTAGTTCTGAACTACACATTCTCAGGATAGATGTTCGTCTTTGAGAGATGATGATAATGGTGATGATGATGATGGTGATGATGATGATGGTGGTGATGATGATGATGACAGTGATGATGATGATGGTGGTGATGGTGATGATGATGGTGGTGATGATGATGGTGATGATGGTGATGATGATGATAATATGATGATGATGATGATGACAGTGATGATGATG